ATTTGTAGAGTTATAACACATAGGCACAATTACAAGATAGATGCCTAACTTGTATACATGTGGAAAAATTCTGTGATTCACCCTCCACATGTTTCTGGGCTCCCATCTCCCCTCAGCCCCAGTGAACATCGATTATGGGAATTGTAGTTCAAAACATGCGCAGAGCACCACATTTGCTACCTTTGAGCTATAGCATTCCATGGCTTGTGCCACCAAGCTTGATGTGTTTCAGAGCACAGAGATGCACCAAGCCACATTTTTCTTTGGCATGAGTCCAGGGACAGCTTTTACTCAAACTTCAGGAGTACAGTCCTTAAATGTTTTAAGACACACAAAAATGTTTTTCTTGAGTCAAGATTGTCCAAGGGAGCTTTTGTTTCCTCCTTCACATGCAGCAGGTGGATTAGCTCACCTGTACAAATCTGAAGATCTACCCTATCAGCACGTTTCTTCAACACTGTTTAGAAAAATCTATAAACCCCTTAATAATAATAATACCTATGTGGTATACATAAAATATACACACGCCCATCCTCAGGATATATATTGCAATCTGGACTGCAGAAGTAGATCTGCAGGAAAGGTGAACTGCTGAAAAGTAATGTACCACAACAGGAGTTGGGACACCCATTTTCCAATCCCACAACCACCACCAGCAGCTTGAGGCAAATATTGCAGGTAAAATGAAAAAATAAAATAAAAATACTTTGCTTTCTTTATGTGCACAGGAGATAGATGATGCTGTTTGCGTGCAGTGTCGAGGCAAAAGATGCTCTTCTTGTCCCCAGGTTCAGTGCTTTTCAGGCTCAAGAGCACCTCTGCAGCTGATGACCAGAAAAGCAAAGCCTAGACTATTTGCTCACCTTAAGACCCATATCATATATTTGGCATATGCTGTCTATATGTTAAAGACCACTGAGAACACAAAACACATTTCAGAAGTATATTTATGGAGGTATTAGGTGTGCAAATGAAGCATCTTGTCACAGCTGTGGGTAGACTGCATGCATCTGAGGACAGCACAAGTCCTTCGGATTCCTTCCAAGAGAGTTTGTTTTTTTCCAGGCAAATTGCATCTCAGTTGTTCCACAACAGACATGATCCTTAACTACCCACCTTTTCCAGCTGGCCCTAAACAGGTTCAGAATCTAAGCTGTTACAGTATTATTATGCGTACAGTCTCTCGAAATGTCCTAAGCACATACAGTATTTAAAGTAGTGTGTATCCTTTCAGAGTCAAATAACTTCAATTAGCAATACACAGGCTCAATCCTGCATCTGCATGTACCCTTATTCATTCTGCCTGTGGGCCTAACGCTGGTGTCCATTTCAAAAGAAACCTCTTTACATCCTAGTTTAATAGAAGTTTCTTTTTTAAAAAAAGAGAGAGCGCGCGCTACAAGTTAAGAGTTGAGGCTACAATATTTTCTCAAAAGGCAGAATGGCTTTCAATGATTTCCACCATTTTTTTTAAAAAAGTGAGAAAAGACACTGAACTCATGTAAACACAGTTTATTCTCCACAGTACAAGGCCTGCTTTTGAAACATGATCATGTGGGGGTCCTCCACACACAACAAAACAGCTGGAAGACTTACGCTAGGTGAATTAGACCTATCAAACAGGATCTCCAAACATTCAGGTATGAAGTTTCTCCATATGATTAAGAGATGCTTACAAGCATTAGCACTGTCATGCACAAGTACCGTTAAGAGCCACAACAAAATCCCTAGAACTTTCTCTCAAAAGGGCTGAGTCCAAAGTTATGTCTCTTATCAAGAAAGCTGCAGTAAATCCTGTCTTTCCACATGGCTGAAAACCAGCCTGGAGAGTTGGGCTATCAAAGTCTATATTGTAAAACATTTGACAGTCAGTCCCCATTATGGTGCAAACATCCATTGCCTCCTTCATGTACTTCCATACTTTGAGATCTCCTAACAAATGCTGTTTGTGACATTATTCATATTTAGACTTTAAAGCACACGAGTTTCAGGTTTCTAACAAGTCTGTGCAAAACACATACTATTCTTGTTTTCAATGTAACCAGATTCAAATCTTCATTTTTAGTATGTGCTTCCCCACCCCCCACCCCTGCCAACCTGAAAGAACTTTTACAGGCATTCCAACAACAGAGCTTCAAGCTGCAGCTTTGTTTACAGGTATTTAAAAATGCAGTTATAGCACTTATACTTGAGTAATAGTTGCAGCCAACAGATACTTCTCTTAGCTTTTAGAGAGACTGTAGCCCTTGAAATTCCAGGGTTTCAAACAATGATAACCTCCATCTCATGTTTTATTAGGCATAGATGCTCTCAAATTAGCTTCCTCATCATTACTTGCCAATGTTATTAAGCTGATGCAATGACTACTACTTTCATCCCACCGTGGCTTGCAGCTGTTTTATCCAAATATTAAAGAGCAGAGTTGAAAACTTGCATAATTCCTTTGCAGAATGGACAAGGTTCCACTTCCAATTCAATTTAACCAAAGCAACAGAACAGAAGAATGTACTGCTGTTGTTTGACATTCATTTAGCACCAGCGTGCTAGGTGCTGCATAAACATAAGTAGCAAGTCACTTTCCAAGAGAACTGTTGAAGAACAGTAATGTGATTCTACAATGGTTCAGAAAAGGGTTACAGATGGGAAATGCCTAGCAAATGAGGAGTGGAAGATACTTCTAGACATAGGAATGTGAGATAGCAGGCACTTGAACAGGAGGAGGACTAAGAAGGTAAACAGGAGTGTTGGAGCCAGCTGCTCCCTGGCGACTCTGCACAGCGGTTCTCTCTATTTCTGTGGTACAGCTCCCAACAACTTGGCAGATGTTTCCACCCAAAAGTGATACTGCCCTTCACCCCATCCAAAACCGAACCAGTTTTCTGGAAACTACAGGTGGATAATTACAGGTGGGAAACCATTAATAGCCCAATCTGAGCAACTCACATGAACCCACTGGAATCAACCACATAAGAGATTTCTAAGTGTAAGGCTGAGGCTGGATATGACATAGAACCAATATAAACAATTACTGAGAATAGTATAAAATGGGAGAGATGGGGGAAGAGTTTGATTTACCTTTATATTCCACCCCCTCAGTCTACTGAACTACCTCCTACCAGTGTCTTAAAATACTAGCTATGGTAATATACCCTTTTGCCTCCATTTTAACAGTGGATGCTAGTATCCCCCTTGGCCTTTCCTATTCAAGTGAAGTGTTCTCTTTTTATAGCACTAAATTAGGATCCCTCAAGAAGCCTGAAAATGCAGATAAAGGTAACAGGCTTTTAACACCATTAAGTAACTTCCAATGCAGCATGTGAACACTGGAAAATTACCACATTTGTTTACACCAGCCTTTGCCAAACAGATGTTTTGGATGACAACTCCCATCAACTCCAGGTAGCATGACCAATAGTCAGGAGTGGTGGGAATTGTAGTCCAAAGTGACCCAGTTGGTATGAAAAGTTGGACTGCCCTAAGTTAGATGATTACTCACAAGCCACAGAAGGGAATCTCTTACCACAGTAACTCAGTGACAGCAATACCAGCCAACATGGTGCTCTCCAATGCTGCTGGCACACATCTCCCATCATCTCTCAACACTGGTCATGCTGGCTGGAGCTGATGGCAGCTATAATAGAAAACACCTGGAAAGTACCATGTTTGTGACCATTGACCTATACCACCTTTGTAAACCAGCCTGCAGTAAGGAGGATACTACTTTTCCTGGATTTCTGATCAGGTGTTGATGCAAAGTAAAGTTCTCTTTCATCAGAGTGACATTTTAGACATTCGATACATACCATGCTAAGGTGCCACTTGGTGAATAATGACTTGCATTCACCCACTATTAAAACAGCTTTTATGAAATTATGAGTGCTGGGCCTCAAATCAAGAATGCATTTCTTTGTGTGGTTATTTACACAGCCACCTATTTCACAGAAACAGTTTAACGAAATAAGTGTAACTGGACAACCGCTGGAACTTTTTAAAATAATCACTGAAACTTTCAGCTTTCATAAAATACTCTTGAGAAACTAACCCCTAAAAAAACCCTATTAGGTCAGTCTTGCTTATTTAACAGACAGCATACTAAATTAACTCTAATTAGATGAGCTTGGCAAGTTCATGAGCAACATTTATTCTTTTCACACATTCCCAAGGCATTGCTTCTCCTGTCTTCTCTCCCCCGCAGGTTTCTCTGTTCCTATATTCCCAAAGGAATGATTTCAGGTTTTAGACACAAGGAATGGCTTCACACATGGGAAAATGAGACCCTTGTTAAACCCTCATGTCAGCTCTTCCACCTCCTTCAAAATCCTAGTTCAATTATTGTTTCCCAGGTACAAGACCTGGAAGGTATCACAGTAAAGGACCCCCCCCCAAAAAAAGTGAGCTCAATCTTTTTTTATGCTGACCAATATTGAATCTCCCATGTTGCATAAAGCCTAATCTTTTCAGAGGCATCAAGTTATAGTTGGAAGTAATTTATGGCATCACCAAGATGAAACTAAATTGATTAAATCCCTCAATAACCACAGCCTCACACATTGTGCTTTGTTTTTGATACTCTTGTTTCTAGACTTCCCCAAAAGTTCCAAGTCAGAAGTAGTTCACAACACCAGCAAGAAAACCTGTGTCTTTAAAATCAGGGCCTCTTGTCAATACAACCATGGAATCAGTTTCCTTTTTGTTATATGAAAAAGATAAAACCTCTTCCACTTTATTCCCCTCCTCCTGCCCCTTCTAAAGCCCCTGTTTCCAATTACTATGCAATCTTTGGAAGATGCCAACCTGGAATGTGTTTCCAAGTGTATCTTGTCTGGCAGCATCTGCTATAAATGGGTATTTTCCATACGGGCCATTGGAACAATTCATGCAGGGAGACAATACCATGTGAGAGATAGGTTTTACCTGTTTTTATGGCGGGCTGTGTTTTTATCTGATCAGGAGATATGAAGGAAGCAGATACAGGGTGGGTGTTTTTTTGTTTGATTTACCTTTTAAATGCTTCAGCTGGGTTTCTCTCGCACTCCCCAGGCTGCAAGAGACTTTGAACAGCAGGATCTCTGAGTTTGTCCTCGAATCCCTGAATCAGACCACTGCGACAGATTTGGGCAACTAACCCTCTGATAAAGCCTCCCACACAGAGAGTGTCTGAGTCCTGAGCCCTGCAGAAGTGGAAAGCCAGGGCTTGGTGATGTAAACCCCTTTGCAGACTGGCAGGTGAGCTCGGCCACAGTAATTCAGTACAGAGGGCTGTTTTGCCACTACCCGGCCCTCCTACCAGCAACACACCCCAGGCAGCTCCCTTGCCAGGGACGACGCAAGTATTAGTCCCAGAGTTCAGCACAACGGATGGTTTGTTGGCAGTGCTGTTGCTGCAGCTCGTCTTTTCCTGCAGGCAGTGCTGAAGCTTGTGAAAAACCCACTCTCTACAATAAAACTGTTTCCCCTGCAGCAAGCTGGTCTGAGCCATTTTACAGACTTTCTTCTCTGGGGCAGGTCAAAAACGACCGCACATCTTTAAAAGTCGCACTCAACGCAGGTCCTTAAATCCAAGTCGACACGTGCGCAGCATGGAGCTTGGTCACTGGGCAACGCAATCCGCAAACCTTTCATCCCCTCACATAATGGTCAGTAGCATCTTTGCAAAGCCGAAGAGGCATCTTTCCATCCAAATGCTCTCCTGATTAGCACATGGTGTATTGCCGATCATCCGATTTAGAAATAAAGCTACGTTTGATACCAAGGCTCAGAAATACTTCTCATATGGCTTAAAAGGTCATGCAATGCCATGGCTACAGCTGCAGCTTATAGTGTTTGCATTTCCCTCTAATACAGATGATACATCTAAAAAAGCTGAGTTGCTAACACGCACGGTTCCTGCATGTTCTCTGTGCCTCTCCAGGTTTCCAGTCATTCCAAAATATGTGGCTTTTATAACCCCCTTCAAAACGCCGCCCACATCAAGATGCGACTCTTGTCAAAAAAAGGCTTCTTTTCTGTTCCGTGAATGTTTACTGAAAATGTATGGATCTGCCTTGTTTATCGAGAAGTGGTTCACTGGAGTCTGTGCAAGCTTCTGTGGTCCAAGGAAGCCCTTCAAATTATGACGCACCGTGTCTCCAATGCGATGGAAACACTCAAACTTCTTGCGCAGGAGGAGACATTCAGCAAGTGCTCTCTTTGCAGTCTCATGGTCTACTCTCACACTCCAGGTGTCTCAACTGCAGATGTCAAAACAGTCCCATCTCTGCCCCAGACCTGAAATTAAGCACCACAAACACTTGTTAGCTGACATGCACCAGGGTATTCCACTCTTAAGTAAACCAACTGAAGCCAGTTGCTTATTAGGGCACAAAAATAAGAAACCGCCTAAGAAAGAATTCACTTTATGCACACTGTGTCCTGCTTTTTTTAGTATCGGAGGAGCAAAAAAAGCACAAAAACCCCAACAAAGCCCTACTAGCACTGCCTAGATTCACATTTGTGCCCTTTTCGTGCAAGATATGTGACCTTGAAGCCACAAAAGAGCCCCCTATCCCATTCTGAAAACTGATATTCACCCAAGGACCCTCCTATCTCCTTCTCCCCCCCCCCAAAAAAAAACTTGGTCATCTGAACCTCCCTTGTACCTGCTTCCTATTATGCCTACTGGTCCTGCCGCCCTCCAGCTTTTTCACAGCCGCCTTTGTTCAGTGCTCTGGAGCATCAGGAGCAAGACAGGAGCCACGTTTCCACTTACCGTCTTCTCTCTCTCTCTCTCTCCCCGCCCCCCTCCACCCCAAAAGTCCCCCGGCATTGTTGCTGGGCAGCGTGCTGTCGCTGTCATCGGCTCGGCTCCGCGCGGTTGGATCCAGCAGCCAGCGACGCGCTCGTTGCATTTGTCCTCGGCTTTGTCTCTCCCCCGACCCCCCCCCCCCTCGGGCGTCCCGCACGGCTGGGCTTCCCGTTTCAGCCGATAGCCGAAAGAGAGGAGAAGGTTCAGCAGGATGCAAAGACCCCTTTCCTAGGGAAGCCTCCCCGGTTGCAGAGCCTTGAAGTCTTTTAAGCTTAGGGGGAAAGAATGGGAAACAAGGCAAAGCGGACTCACTCGAGCCAGAGAGCGCTTGGCCCGCCTGCTCGCTTCCCAGATCCTCCGCTCCGGAGAGACACACGCCCTCCCTCCCTCCCTCCTCCGCCCACCCCACCGCAACGGAGGGGACACGCACGCAGCAGCGCCCCACGGCACAAAGATCCCCGCCCGCCACTCCGATCGCTTCAGCCCCCACCCTCCGTCGCTGCACGGGAGTTGCATGCTCCGGGAGGAGGGCGTCCCGCCGCGGCCTCGCTCCTCTCCGCCAGCCGGTCGGGCTCCCAACTCGGATCGCACGCCTCCCCACCCCCACTCCCACGTTCGCGGGGTTCAGATTTCAAACACTCGCAGACCCAAAGAGAGAGAGAGAGAGTTCGGGCAATCCCCGCCCGGGTTTCCGACGACGCTGCGCGCTGGCCCCTTCTTCACCTTTGCCACTCATACAGCCTTCCACGAATCGGGAGGGGAAAGTTGGGGAGGGGGCAGGCGGCCAGACGCGCGCGCGCGCCCCGACCAAAACAAACAGAAACCCCGAGAGAGAGAGCGCTCCCACGTTCCCAAAGCCGCACCAGCGCCTCGCAGAAGTCCGGGGAGCTTGGCGATCGCGATCGCAAGAAGACAGGCGAGCATTTGTGGCGGGTTGAGACAGGGACACCCCTCCCCTCCCATTCACACACACACACACACACACACACAAAACAAAGACCTTTGCACGGGGCGCGGCAAGCGTGCAGAGCAGACCCGCGCGCGAGCCCACCCGCTGCACACGGAGCTTTTTGCACAAGGCAGGCGCTCATCCACACGGGACGAGGAGGCGATTCGCCGGGCAAGAGAGCCGTGTGGACCCGGGCGCAGCCCCAGCAAAGCTGAGACAGCTGCCCCGCCGCGGAGACTGCCTAGCCCCTTGCAGAAAAGAGGGTCTTCTTAGCCGGGGCTGACACCACCCCAAGGGAGGGAGGTGGACGGGCGAGTGGCTGCAGCCCCTTCCCCAGCCCTCCACCCACCCTCTCACTCGGCGAGAGAGAAAACCTCCCTTCCCCGGCTGCTGCTGCTGCTGCTCAGTTACCTCCCCTGCTTCCTCTCCTGTGGACAAGGAGGCGGCAGCTGCTGCTGCTGGTTGGCTCGATCCCCTGCCGCCGCCGCCGCCGAAGCCGCTTTCCCCAAGGCGGGCGAAAGCCCAGACAGGCGTGTCCGCGGAGCTTCCCTTCGCCTCGTCCCTCTTCACTCCCCGCAGGGCCGGCCTTCCGGCCTCGCTCTCCCTGTCCGGCGCAGCCGAAGCGCGGCCGCCGCCACCACCACAGCTGCCCCCGCCCCTTTCCCCCTCTCCCCGGCCTGATTGGGCGGCCACGCTCCGGCTCCTCCTCGGCGCTCGCCTCCTTAGGCCCCGCCCGCCGCCGCCTGCTGGTTTGGTGCTTCGGCCGTGGGCGTGGAAGGGGCGTGGCTAGACGCCGCTCAGCATCGCCCGGAGCCGAGGGAAGGTTCCGTGCGCTGCGCTCGATCCTCGCAGCTGGCCGAGGTCTCATGAGTCGCTCCTTTGTTTTCAGGAGCAACAGGCTTTGCCCTACACCTGCCTCTCGAGTAGGTTTACTGTGCTGGTTTCTATGAGGCTCATAGGCCAGCCAACTCATAGCTGTCAACGTTTCCCTTTTTTAAAGGGAAATTCGCTCATTCCGAATAGGATTCCTCGCAAGAAAAGGGAAAAGTTGACAGCTATGAGCCAATTCCTTGTTGCCGTGGTCCCTTCATAAAATATTTGAGGGGATCTGCCAAAGTTAATGGGCATTGTCATTCAAATACAGTAGCTTAACCCCCAACTCCCCACTATTTTATTCAAATTGGCACCTGGGATGAGGCGGGATATAGGATCGCAGCCCTGGTCACTTGCTATATTTAATAGAATTTTTTCAGGTTGGAAGGGATCACGAGGGTCCAGCCCGCTGAGATGTAGGAATCTTTTGCCCAACATAGGACTTGAATCCAGACCCTGGTTTAAGAGTCTTATGACCTACCAGGAGTGATTTAGAACCTCAAGCTCAACCCAGACGCTTTAAAAGAAACACACACACCCCTAACAAAATACTACCACTTATTCCCAGGGGGAAGCCCATCCAGTCTCACCTCCTGAGGTCAATGGTGACAACTTGAATAAAATAGGGAGGGGGAGTAAGACCCACCCTGCATAATCGATCATAAGACACAGTGAACACACACTATTTGAATGGCAATGTCCATCAACTTGGGGGGACGACGATCCCCTCAAATATTTTTTTGGGGGTGGAGGGCAAAGAGCTTTTATTCCCAAGGAGTTGGCTTCTGTGCTCCTCATCAACCAAAACTGGGAAACTGCTGCCACCACCTCTCCTCGCTTCTTCGATGGCAGTGGCAGCAGTGGGTGGGCCCTACGGCACTCAGGCATAACAGCGGGATCTGTTACCTCAGGATCCCTGCAGGATTCCTGCAGGAACCCGCCACCTGAGGCAGTCACTTCAGTGTGCTGCCTTATGGTAATGGCTCTGCCCCCTCCCTACAACAGCATCCTCAGGGCGGAGCTTTTCCTCCTCTGAGAATAGAGGTCTGATTGTTAGCATGAATAAGGGCAAGGCTTTTGCATGTTTCCTCATGTTTTGCATGTTATCCATGGCCCTTAACTCCCAGGAAAGTGGGTATGGAATTGCACAGGGCTGGCACAGCAATCACTCAGTGTGAGCAGGATCAGCATGCCCTCTTCTGAGGCGAAATAGGAAGTGCCCAGCCCCTGCTGCTGCTACTGCTGCCACCACCTGCACCTGCCATATCCGCCACTGGCAGAGAAGCACTGCCATCATCATCACCGATTTTGGATGAGATCTGGTGTGCTTCAGGTGAGGTACTGCTTCACCACTGACAGAGGTGACAGGGCAGGCTGCTGCCTCAGACAGCATAAACCCCAGAGGCAGTACCCCTGTGCCCCCCTGCCATCTCTTCCAGTGGCAAAGCAATGCAAGCATCAACACCAATTTAAGGCAAGATCGCATCCATTTGGGGTGACATCTCACCTGAAATCAGCACTGATGGTGGCATCACTTCTCTACCAGTGGTGCCAGCTATAGGGGGGCAGAAGGGGCTTCATCCCCCTCAATATTTCTAGGCAAAGAGCTGAGCCCCCTCCCCCAATATTGAGGGGGCTGCCATCCCCCGCTGCCTCCAGCAAGCGCTGGCCTGCCAGGCAGGAGGTGTGGAGTGCAATTTTCACCCTCCATGCTCCCTGCCATAATCATCAGAGCCCCTTCCAGGAAGGCACTCTGATGATCTTCAAAGGGATACCCAGGTGTCCCTGCAGGCCTGGCTGGATTGGGGGGGGTCAGGTGTGTGACATCATGCATCGGGCCCAATTCTGCATGCCTGGGGTATGTAGTGGCAGGCAGCGGCAGCAGGTATGGCAGTGGTAGTGGTGGGAGTTGCAGCAGGGGCTGGGCAAGGCAGCACTTCCCATTTCTCCCCCAGCTGTTCCCCCAGCTGTTTTTCCCCTAGGTTCCTTACTCTTGTCCCAGGACTTATGTCCATCAGCATTGGTGCAGCCTAAAGTAGACCTGTGGTGTCCACTGAAATTATTAGAACCGGTGTGGGAATTAAGTTGTGTGATTTGAGCTCCACGCTTTGGCTAATGCTGCCAATGAAACTTTAGATATACAGTGGTACCTCAGTTTACAGATGCTTCAGGTTACAGACTCCGCTAACCCAGAAATAGTACCTCAGGTTAAGAACTTTGCTTCAGGATGAGAACAGAAATCATGCGGCGGTGGCACAGCAGCAGCGGAAGGCCCCATTAGCTAAAATGTAACCTCAGGTTAAGAACAGTTTCAGGTTAAGAATGGACCTCCGGAACGAATTAAGTACTTAACCCGAGGTAACATTGTAGAGTTAATATGTAGGGTGCCATCCTGACCTCTTTTGGGTGCATCAGTTACACTCAGGAAGAAGGAGGGGAGGTTCTGTGGACATCTGTGTTAGCCTTGCAGGTGCTTTGAGCTGCAGATTGCATAGCATTCTTTGACCACATGTGAAGTTTAAATGTAAGTTATAAGCTTTGGGCCGGTATCATTTTGACTTTTTGCTTCACGAAGCCAAATCCCCTTGAGAAAATAATAATAATAATAATAATAATAATAATAATAATAATAATTTATTATTTATATCCCGCCCATCTGGCTGAGTTTCCCCAGCCACTCTGGGCGGCTCCCAATTAGTGTTAAAAACAGTACAGCGTTACATATTAAAAACTTCCCTGAACAGGGCTGCCTTAAGATGTCTTCTGAATATCAAGTAATTATTTATCTCTTTGACATCTAATGGGAGGGCGTTCCACAGGGCGGGCGCCACTACCGAGAAGGCCCTCTGTCTGGTTCCCTGTAGCCTCACTTCTCGCAATGAGGGAACCGCCAGAAGGCCCTCGGCGCTGGACCTCAGTGTCCGGGCTGAATGATGGGGGTGGAGACGCTCCTTCAGGTATACAGGACCGAGGCCGTTTAGGGCTTTAAAGGTCAGCACCAACACTTTGAATCGTGCTCGGAAACGTACTGGGAGCCAATGCAGGTCTCTCAGAACCGGTGTTATATGGTCCCGGCGGCCACTCCCAGTCACCAGTCTAGCTGCCGCGTTCTGGATTAATTGCAGTTTCCGGGTCACCTTCAAAGGTAGCCCCACGTAGAGCGCGTTGCAGTAGTCCAAGCGTGAGATAACTAGAGCATGCACCACTCTGGCGAGACAGTTTGCGGGCAGGTAGGGTCTTAGCCTGCGTACCAGGTGGAGCTGGTAGACAGCTGCCCTGGACACAGAGTTAACCTGCGCCTCCATGGACAGCTGTGAGTCCAAAATGACTCCCAGGCTACGCACCTGGTCCTTTAGGGGCACAGTTACCCCATTCAAGACCAGGGAATCCCCCACACCAACCCGCTCCCTGTCCCCCAAAAACAGTACTTCTGTCTTGTCAGGATTCAACCTCAGTCTGTTAGCCGCCATCCATCCTCCAACCGCCTCCAGGCACTCACACAGGACCTTCACCGCCTTCACCGGTTCTGATTTAAAGGAGAGGTAGAGCTGGGTGTCATCTGCGTACTGATGAACACCCAGTCCAAACCCCCTGATGATCTCTCCCAGCGGCTTCATATAGATATTAAAAAGCATGGGGGAGAGGACAGAACCCTGAGGCACCCCACAAGTGAGAGCCCAGGGGTCTGAACACTCATCCCCCACCACCACTTTCTGGACACGGCCCAGGAGGAAGGAGCGGAACCACTGTATAACAGTGCCCCCAGCTCCCAGCCCCTCTAGACGGTCCAGAAGGATGTTATGGTCGATGGTGTCAAAGGCCGCTGAGAGATCCAGCAGAGATCCAGCAACTAGGAAACAGCTCTCACCTTTGTCCCTAGCCCGCCGGAGATCATCAACCAGCGCGACCAAGGCAGTTTCAGTCCCATGGTGAGACCTGAATCCCGATTGGAAGGGATCCAAATGGTCCGTTTCCTCCAGGCGTGCTTGGAGTTGTTCAGCAACCACCCGCTCAATCACCTTGCCCAAGAATGGCAGATTTGAGACTGGGCGATAGTTGGCCAAATTGGCCGGGTCTAAAGATGTTTTTTTAAGAAGCGGTTTAATGACCGCCTCTTTCAGCGGGTCTGGGAAGACTCCCTCACAGAGGGAAGCATTCACCACCCCGCAGAGCCCATCGCCCAGCCCTTCCCGGCTCGCTTTTATCAGCCAGGATGGGCAAGGATCAAGGAGACAGGTGGTCGGTTTCACTTTTCCAAGCAGCCTGTCCACATCCTCGGAGGTAACAGACTGGAATTGATCCCATGTAACAGGACCAGACAGAACTCTAGCACTCTCCCGCCCTGGCCCTGCTCCCACGGTGGAGTCTACCTCCTTCTGAATCTGAGCGATTTTATCTGCAAAAAACTTTGCAAAAGCA